TGTTCTCTCTCCTAATGAATTACTGCTTCATTTATCATTGAAAATCATTGAACACAATACTCCAAAATCACAAACTGCAGAAAGCTACTTTTCCTCCATAGAGTCAAAATCATCCTTGCTCAATCCAATAAACTTCCTTTTGAATCAAATCTAAATCCCAAACCCCATTTCTTAACCAAGAACTCATTCCCAGTAAACTGATATCAAAATAAAAATCTCACCCTTTTTTCTTCCCTTTTCTAACCAACCCAACGCAAAAAACCTCATTTCTAGACGATTTAAGCTAAGATGCAGCTTAGCTACATTAAAATCCTGTACTTCCAACTCAATGTTCAACTTAAAACCCCCAAATATCACTTCAAAATTATGACAAGCAGAAAATGTCAAAGCAAGCAGATTTTAAAAGATCTCAGCATTTTATCCAATACCCATGTAGAAAAATTAAAAAATTTTAAGGTAACAGAGCTGAAAAATTCAAGATTTATCATGTCATAATCATAAATATGCTTCATAAAAGAACACCAGAGGAACAAAAAAAGGAAAGAAAAAAACAGAAGAGACTCACCAAGCTAGAATTTGCCCAGATGCTCCTTCTCTCGGGCACAGACACAAGAAGGGTTGGAATGAAAGAACAGAACGGAGGTCGACCATGTCAATTTATTTGGCAAGGTCTGTGGCCAAAAGAAGGAGACTTTACCACCAAGGTGGGACCGTCCCTGGTCAAAACCCATCAATCACAGCCGTTGGTTCCTGGGGGCAACCTTTGCTGATCAGCACAGTAACCTCATCATATATTAGATTGGATTCATGTAAAGATAATCAGAGCCGTTGATGGGTCAACTTCTATCAGATCAAAGTTTATCTCTTTGGAAACTGGAAGACAGAACGTGGGTGGAAGGAGACAAAAGGCGATGATGTCTGATTGGGTAATGGGATGGGTCCCACCCAACCAAGATGATTCTCTTTGCGTCTGAGATTAGATGCAGATTTGACTTGGATTAGTGTGTTTTAGACTTTTCACAGTAATTTTTTAACGTGTAGATGATGTTTATTTAGTCCTCAGCCTTTAGGGCTACTTCAAAAGTCGTCCTCAACAGTGTTAAGCCAAACACTGTGGTCCTTGACTGACTCTCTAGGAATTGGAAAGACAATCTTTTTTTTCTTTTTTTTTTTTGAGGAAATTGGAAAGACAATTTTTTTTGACAGGAAAAAATGGTTAGATTAATTATTAGTATCTATTACTTTGTAAAAGGATCAAATTTTGGAGTTAAGTGTATTTTACCTGTTGTCCAATGAATGACCACCACTGGTCACACGGGGATTGCAAAAGCAAAAGACAATCTTTCTTGTTGTCCATCATACTGACGTTTTGCATGATTTTATTTAGTAACTATTAATTTTGCAAATCTAACAACAAAGATAATGTTTAGTACAAGAGAAAAAAAAGAAGATGATCTTATATTTAGCAAACTGATAATTACATTATTAGTAAATACACTGTTATTATTAAAATAGAATGTATGTAAAATTTCAATGTAATAGTTGTTTAAGGTATTAATCACATAAGAATTTAAAAAAAAATCAAAACACTTCCATATTATTTAATGTTTTTTCAATACTATCTCATTATACCATTATCATTTGCGAAGGGAAATTTCCATTCAATTTGGGTATTTCTCTAAAAGAAGAAAAAACTCTCAACTATGACATAATCCTTGTGATGATAGCATCAAAATGCTACCATAGTCATTCTTGTATTAAAACCAGCTAAAAAAAGAAAAAAACTTCATTTAGATGGGAAAATACTTCTATTTTTGCTTAGAAAGACTAACCTTAAATTTTTCTTATTTAATCCAAACTCGTGTTATAGACTTTTGCAGAGTTAAGGATCCTATTGAACCAGTTCAAATGTTGAGAATGACTTTGCAGGTGAGCTTAAAACGTTGAGGACCACAAATAATATCTACCCCTACGAGCATTATTAATGGAAAAAAAGAAAGTTTCATCGGAGAGGGTGAAGTGGAGGTGGGGGGGCTGGTGCCAGGAAGCTACGCCATCACCGGCGGTCGCCACTTGTTGGGTTCAAGGAGGCTTCTAGGGAACAAGAGTTGAGTCTCCAGCTCCACAATATTAGAGAACCGCACGTGCCAAATTCTTCCTACCCGCCTTCCTCAGAGAATTACTAGACCAGCAAGATTTTTTTATTTCATTTTTTATTCTAGAAATTCAATTATTGGATTATTTTTCTAGCCCACCAGTTACTAGATTGGAAAAAAGTTGTATTTTTAATGTTTTTGTTATCTGTCCTGTCTTAAAATATTGAATGTGGTATCTCTGAGTTCAGGACAGTAAATCTGCAAATAAATACAAAATTGTGGGATACTGTCCGAGGCAAACTAGATAATGGTTGTAATTGAGAGAATTTTTTTTATTAATCAATTTTTTTCTGTATGATCTTATACTTATATCATTTAATGATTAATTTTTTTATTTTAGTTTAATTTATAATATTATTATATGTTTTTAAGGAGTGATTTAACTAATTAAAAATTTTAAATTTCAAATTAGAGATTTTATATTTTAAATTTTGTATTAAATGAGAAGTGATTTGAAAAAATAAGAGAGTTATTTTTTTTTTATATAGATCATTATCATATATATAAAAAAATTATATTATTATATATATATATATTCATTCATTAGATAATATATAAAAATTACTACAAAAAATTGTATAGAAAATTATCAACAAATCATTATATTTTTTTATACGTCAAATGATAAATTATATAATAAAATATTATTATTTCCTTCTCAAATCTCTTCTTACTTATCTCAAAATTCAAATTTTTAAGGATTTAATCTCTTAACCAATGCATCATCCTAATAAAACAACATATCATTACCCCTGAATAGTACTCCCATCGTTATTCCAATATATACATAATAAATACATTTAAAGAAATTAGTTTAAAATGTATTAAATTGATGTAAAAAATTTGTGTCTTTCAGATAATTTTGAAGAATAATTGATCTTGAAATAAACATTAAATCCCTTAACATGGCTGGAAAAAGGGATTAGTATTGAGGTTTAAAATTTATTTCTTTTAACACAACTTCTTTTTTCCAAGGATTTGTTGTGTAGAGTAGGAACTAGTTCTTCCATGGATATACATGGAAAGTTATGGATTGATTGGTACTTCTACCTACTTTAATGTTTGACACGATTAGATTGAAAACACCATTTAAACAATAGGGTTTTATTTTTCCTTAGTAATCATACAAACTTACTCTCATTCTCATTTTCCACGTTTCTTTCTTCTTTTGGGCATAAGATGGTTGTTATTCTCGATGATGGAAGATAGGAGAAGCGGAGGGGGCCATGCCCGACCTCAAAAATTTTTTAATCTTTGTATATTATTTAAGTTTTATTATGAATTAGTCTCACAACAGTTTACTATTTTTTATAGGTTTCACCCTTAAATAATTTCTTGGCCGCTCGTGTTCTGCTAAAGCTCCGTCCTGCTTATTCCAATGTTTGCAAGAATCATACCAAACCGATCAGATTTCCAAGTCCAATTTACACGACTTTAAATTTTGATTGGCTGCCATGAGGGGAAAAAGTAAAAAGACATATTCAACGTCTTTGTTTGGATTGATGTGGAATGTGGACACAAGAAAGTGGTTGTGTCGATATATGTGTGCCAATGACACAAGCAGTGACGTTGAGTAAATTGACCGGGTGGAGGATTGTTACAGACTTAAATTTTTGGGACTACAGTTTACGCGTTCCTAAAATTTTGGACTTAAATGGTTAATAATAATTAACATCTACACTTATGTATTACCATGTAATAATCACTCTTTTTTTTTAATTATATAATGAATTCTTTTTTTATCACTTATTTATCCCACATATATGACTATACAATTCAAACTCAAAATATTTTTTTAATAAAAAAATTATTTTTAAATTATTTAAATTATTAACATAATTGTTCTTTTCCTAACATGAAATTAAAACATTACATATAATTAGTTGAACAAAGCATCTTCTGCTAAATAAATTAATAATTAATTAAGTCCTATGAAAATAACTACAAATAGTGGACCACACTACATGGGCCCTCCTCTTTTTTTTTTTCTTTTTATTTGAGGTTAGGTTGTATCACCGTTGAAATTTTCCTTCATCATACTTAAGTCTATCCACGCGATTTTATTTGTTGAAAAGAAGTCTTTTATGTTAAAATTCAGAGAACTCATTGAAAATTATCACTTCATCAAACCAAATCAAAATACAGCAGTCAACAAAATATAAAAAGCAAACTCTTACTTGGATGTATACCACCATTTGGTGGGACTGAGATATCTTTACTCCAACGTCTCCCTTTTTTTTTTTTTTTAACAATTTGACATTGAATGGGATCAAATTTGCTCACGAAAAAAAGGGGTGCACCTATTCAACGTGGCTAATACAACTAGACCCGAAAGGTTAGGTGCATTCCAACGCCACCTTTTGGTGTGAAAAAGTAAAAGAAGTAAATTAAATTTTTTGATTAATTATTGTCTTCATGCTTTTGGACTTTGTTGGGAAGATTATGATAAGAGACTTTGGGAGTTATTATTACTATTAAGAGGATTATATTTATCCTACATCAAAAGAAAATTAGTATTATATTTATTGTCATGTCTAACTTGGTCTAATTATCATGTGATTCAATGAATCAAAACAAAGATGGAGGAATCAAAACAAAGATGGAGGAATCAAAATCAAAACTGTGAATGTAAATGATAAAATTTTATAATAATGGTGGATTCACAACTTAATAATTTAAAATTTTTTTTGAAGAGTATGTTTGGTTTAAAGAAAATAGAGAGAACAAGAAGAGATGGATAATTTTTTTAGTTAATCAAATTATAACATTAAAATATAATATAATCTAATTGGTTGAATTTTTTTTTTCTCTTATCTTTTCCTTAGTTTTCTTCAAACTAAAAATATTTGAAGTGTAAATCAATTAAATTAGGTAAAGTTAGATATTATTAAATGAGTTTCATTTAGTAGGTTAAATTTAGATATTTAAATTTCTTAAAATATAATAAATTGATGTAAAGATGTATGGTAGAAATCACTCAAAGATAAATTAGTCTTGTAATGTGTACAAATTAACCCAAAAACACTCAACCATCAAAACTCAAAAACCAGTTAGGTTAAGAATGGGGAAAATATTTATTTACTCTACAATTTTAACCGGAAAATATCAAAATGTTAACATTTTTTTTTTTTATTTAAGGACAAAGTATCTTTGGATAAGCTTTTAGGCACATCAAAACTAATCTCCCCAATATATAATTTGAAGAGCTTACCCCTTACGAAATTGCATCTCTTATATTGATTTGATTTATTCAAAAAACTAATTTTTTTAAATGTTGACTCTAGAATTTAAAACATAAATTTGACTTATGAGATTATACTAGCTTAATCCAATACCTTGAGGCATATCAACATATTATTATTGAACGACTGTATTAAGGCTTCGTTGACTTCCATCCTTTAATTTGACAATCCCGTTTTGTTAATCTGAAAAAAAAAAAAAAGAGAAGAAGGAACCTTGGTAATCTATATTACTCGGAAATGGCTGTTCGTGTTAAAACTAATTAAACGTTGAAATCCATACAAACTACAGACTATTAATAAATTATAATTATATAATCTTTAGTAATTGATGGTATGAATCCATATACATTATAGGTGAAATCACTCTATTTTAACTTCTCTCTCTCTCTTTTTTTTTTTAATAGATGTACAGTAGTCGAGATTTATAAATAACTTTTTTATTATTAATTAATTTTTTGATTTTTATCCCAAAAAAAAAAAAAGAATTTAACTATCTAAATAAAATTTTAAAACATTTTTCTAAAAAGAGAAAGTTAAAATACTACCATTCAAGTGAAGAAAACACAACAATAACATAAGCAAGAATTAAAACAGTCTTTCCTTTTAATGTTTAGATTAATACGGTCAAGCAAGGCTGCATACAAAGCTATTGCCCTTAAAACACATGCAATTAATTTCTGACTTCTTCATTTGCAGTTGGTATCTTTGGCTCTTTTGTTGTTTTCTTTCTGCTGAATGCCAAAGGGTAAGTTGCTCCACCTAAGTAGATAACACCCTTCTTGTTCCGATACCCGAGCTCATGGTAGTTCAACCTTCATATCATCCGTTCTGGTTCTGGTTCTCACAACCCAAGATGGCCTTCTAACAAGTTCAAGTAGAATACAATCATATCTTGGAACCACTGAT